AAGCTAAGCAAAAACTGCATCAGGTCAGGAAATTTGTGTATAATAGGAGGGTGGCAAGTACGATGTCCAGACTTCGGGTTTGGCAATCGGTCGTGTGGCCCACGTTGGCGTTCGGACTGGCTGAGGTGGGCCTAACGTTGGAGTCTGCTAGAGCTCTTAAGGCCTGGTACGCCTTTAAGGTCAGATCAGTTCTGAACAAACCGGCCCACGTAACCCACATGACTACCAATGAGCTCTACGAGCTGTACTCCATAGAGGATCCCGTAGTCAAGCTGGAAAGGCTCCAAGAGAACCGGTATGCCCACCTAAATGCTCAGCAGGCAGTCTCCCCTGGCATAACCAATAGCGGCGTGGCCATTCAGCAGGCCCAGGATCAACTGAGCAATCTTCGCCAATATAAGAATCTCCCGGAGTCGGAGGCGGCAGAAGGTACTCCAGTGGTTCCATGCCGACACTGCGACGGGTCCTTTGTCTCTGCGCAAGGATTGCGGCTCCACATCGCCAAGCAGCATCCGGACGCTGGAGAGGTACGTCCCTGCGAAGTTTGATCGAGCCAAGCACTCATACCCACCTGCCGAGCTTGTGGGGCGGAGTTTAAGCAGTGGCCGGGACTACTGTCCCATCTCCTCTCGGGTGCGTGCCCGAGCCCCCAGAAGCTGAGAGAGCTGGACGCAACTCAGGATCCATCGGCCCTGTCCGCCCCTTTGGAGCGCCTCAAGCGAGCTGTAGCCTTGGCCCCCAAACATCATCTCCCTAAAATTGCCTCGAGCCAAGACGCTAAGGAGCTGGAGTCTCAATGCTTGCAGTGTGGCTTGTGGACTCCGGATTACACAAAATTAAAATCCCATGTGAAAAAGGTCCACACTCAGCTTTGGGACACACTTCAGGGCCAAGTGGAGAAAACCTGCGGCGGTTTCTCCGCACACACGCCCAAGGGCTTGAAGTGTCCTTTTTGTAGAATGCAGGTGTACAATCGAAGCAAGCATTGTTTGCAGTGCCCTGTTATGTTTCAAGTCGTCCTGGAGTGGCATACGCGGCAACCAACCGTTCGCCTCGACCGCACATGTGCTAAGCCGCAGCAGGTTTCGATCCAGCAAGCGTTTCGGGGTCCAGCGCGCAGACCGAGCCCGGACACGCATCTCCTGTAAGACTGCTTCTATACCTGTGGCTGGGATATCCTGACAGCACTGGCCTAGTGCCATAAAGGTCGAATTGATGTAGCAGGAGTTGGCCTTATTTAGGAGGATGCGAAAATCCGAGGCTGGTGGCTCTCAGCAAACCCTAGACCGCTAAGCCTGTGCTCGTCATTTGCTGTCAGATCCCTGGCGAGAGGATGGCGCTTTGATGGCCGCCAACATGACGCAGCGGAGTTTTACTCGCGGCCATAGCTCCAGATAACGGTCCCCTGCAACCTACTCCATGGCAAGCGAGAGTGGAGGGTTTGGTAGAGGATTCTGAGGTAGGCCTAACGCCTCTCCTCCTGCCGATTCAGGAAGCATCGACTCTACAGGCCTGTGTTGACAGTTGGTCCAATCGCGGTCTCCAATACGCGCTCCTCCAGGCGCCCCAACTGCTCCCAGTGGTTCTGTGCAGGTGGCAGGATGGAGTCAAAAATCAAGCCTCTATCACCAGTCTTCGGGAGATCATTCTGATTCCGATTTGGCAGGACGGCCAAAATAGGAGCTTGATTCGATACAGACTCTCTTCGGGGGTTTTTCATGTGGGCGACCGAACTGCGTCAGGTCACTACCGTGCTTTCTGGCCCCAGCCAGCATCGGGGATCATGGTCAGCGATGATTTTGTACCTCCCTCTCTAGTAGGGCCCTCAGATTTAACGCGCATATACAAAGGCAGCTATCTAGTCTTTTTGTCTCGTTGCGAGTGACAGGGGAAGTGCTGGCCTGCTGCGATAGCGCCTTTACAGCCATTGTAGGGTGCCCGTGCGTGGGAAGGCCCAAGCCACTACACNNNCAAACGCGCAACAAGCGCGTGCAGACTTCCTCGTTAGCCATGTCTGCCAGAAGTCCGGAGACGAAAAGACAGAGAGCATGCAAGAGCTCCGCGAGCAGACCAGCCAGATGCTACGAGGCGCCTCGAGCACCAGACGAATAGCTCCTCTGTCTACTGCCGAACTTACGCAAGCCTTCCTCGCTCACGAGGACCAGCTCAGCATCCTTCAGGCCCAGACAACTATCCTGTTCAAGCTGCCGGCGGAGGGCAGCATTGCACGCGCCCTGCTGGCCGCTGTACAGGGCTGGCAGCGAGATCACCATCCCGGGCAAGCTCATGCATCATGTCGGGCCTGACGCGCGAGTCAGTGCACTACTTATTGTTCGATCGTCATTGGCAGGTCGGTGCAGCTGGAGAAGGAGGCGGCCCGCGCTCAGGAAACGCCGGCGCCTGGTTCAGCAGTCCGTTCAGATGCCTCTGGGACTGGAAAGGGGACGTCTGCCACTGTTCTACCCTCTGGCAGGGCACGGCCTCCGACGCCGCCTGAGCCGAAAAAGCGTAGAAAGTCTTAGGCAGTAAGTCTCGTCTACACAGTAGTATACTCATTCGACCTGGCCGTGCGGTTTCAGAAATTCGCTGCCCCCAGCAGGCTTAAGTTACCCTCGCGTGACGTTCGGCAGCGCAGTAGGACTCGCCATGCAGGGGGTATATTGCATTTGAATCCACTGCTGTTTTCCATCTCAGAGCTATAAACTGTAGCCAGGGCACTGCCGTAGCACTGGCACTGCCATGCTCTCCGACATCCACGGCCCCAACCTGACCATACGTGGAGCTCCCGCCACGGAGGAGGATGAGCAGGCGCTAGTTAAGGCCCTTGCCGACGTCGTTCATGCTCCTGCTTTCCAGCCTGTTGCGGACCTATGTGACCATGATTGCAGGGACCTCCTCCACAGCAAGCGCAAAGGCATGCGGGTCGGCAGAGGCGCGGAGTCAGAGGTGCGGCTGAGCCCCCACCCAGCCTACGTGGTCAAGGCCATTGTTCGGGAGGGCCACGAAGCGTCTCTAGCCAAAGAGCACGCCAGACTACTGCGGCTCCCTCGATTCCACTTTCTCCCGCAGTTCTACGCCAAGTTTTGGGATAAATGCCTCATGCTTCGCTTTCGCAGACTCCCTTTTGAGCTTTTGACGCAAGAGCACCTGCCGAAATTTTTCGGCGATGTAAGTGCCGCCTTGCGTGTGCTACATGCGCGCAACATCGTCCACGCCGACGTGCGCCTGGACAACATAATGCTCAGACCCTGGCCGCCAGGCTTTGTCCTCATTGACCTCGCGTCCTGCACGGGCGAGTCTATCTATCCGCTGGAGCTCGGCTTCGGCGTCCCAGGCAGAGGCGGCGCTATGTTCGCCCCCCCGCACGAGAAACTTCGCCCACCAATGCGCACCCCAGCTGGAGATTTCTACCGCTTTGCCAAGTCCCTTCAGCAGCTCCCTTCGAGAAGATAGTGGACGCCCTCTCCCAGACGAGGTACTATCAGGACCTCAACGGCAACGACGTCCTTGACCTTATTCTCAAAATTTTGCCTCTCTGAGGACCGACCAAACCTGGAGTCGGGCATCGCGGAGACCCCTGGACACGGCCGTCCAACCTCATGCCCCGCCAGGTCCGCCGCCCAAGCCTTGTCCACCAAGTGGGCCGCCACCACCTAAGCCACAACTACCAGCCTCGGACAAGACTCTGCGGATGACATTGGCACGCGTGACACGGGCATTCCTGACTCCGACCCGCGCAACTATCAGCCTCCAAAACCGGATCAGCCGCCCGTACAGGAGGCCGTCCCCGCCAGAATGGCTTCGAGTCCTTTGCAGGATGCACGTCCTGACTCAGCAAATGCTACTTGAGGCCTAGAGTATGACGAGCTGCTGCCGCTCTGGGCCAAGCGGATGAAGGTGATACTCACCCCCCCTCCTCTGTTTGAAAGTATCAAGCTGGCCAAGGCTCGTGCAATCAAGCTTTCTGCACCATTCTCCTCCACAAGCTTGCTAAATCAGCGGTGCCAACAGGGCTAGCTCAGGATAGCTTTCAGGGATTCTCGGAGATGGCGGCGGAGCTAGCCGGCCAGATGTCTCCGGCGGCCTGGGTCAGTGAGATCTCGCACTGCTCGGCGCAGGCAAACGCGAATAAGACTCATGTCATCCTGGACCTCCGGCCAGTGTTGTTTGGCTCTATTGCAAAGCACGCCGACACTATCATAAAGCTCTTGGAGAGCTATGAGGGTGAGAGGCTAGGCAGGAAGCCGCCGGGAGGGCTATCTCGTCGAGCCCGAGGTCGCCCCTCCGAGAGCAGCGGCACTGCCTGAGAGCCCCAGCACTGCTGAGCGTGGTAAGAGTAGGCCGGGGGATCTCTTTTTCTACAGCGCCTGAGGCACTGCCAAACGCGTGCCAGCGCTGCTGCACTGTCGCGTAGCTCTCACTCATGTGTGGCCACAGTGTCAGATAAGTCAGACTATTTGAGTTCGCAGCGTACAGATCCAGAGAACATGGGGTACCAAGGACAAGCCGCTTTGCCCGGGGATTTGCTTGCCTTGCACTTCTTGGACTGAGCGCGCTAAGTTAAGGCATGCGTCAGGTATAGACGGAGGAGGAGTAACGTGGCACGTCATCGAGACAGCCAAGCTCGTCGCCGCAGACAATGGCTTAGTTGCCACCGGCAAAGACGCAACATACACTGTCTTGGACCGCGGCTCAAAGCTCCAGGGCGCTCTCTCTGCCCTCTTCGGCAAGATGTGGGACTATCCGCCGCTGAGCGACATAGTGCAGGATCACACTCGCTTTATGCTCATCGCCACTTCCATCAAGGCAGTCTATGACCACACGGCCCGCAAGATGGAGCTGCAGGCCAGACTTGTCGTTGCGCAGGACGGCAAACATGTCCGCGTCAAGCACAACTGCGGCGACTCGCCGACGTACCTGCAGCAGCATCCGGAGCTGGCCCAGACGGCAACGAAGCGTCAACGAACTCAGCATCGTAGCCTTCCACCGAGTCGGGCCTCCCGAGTCGAGCCTTCTGCAGCTCCTACGCCAGGCCAGGCGTCCTCTTCGACGATGAGACCTACTGAACCTCCTTATCCACCTACTCAGGCAAGGGAGACTTGGAGTTGGAGCGACTGGGGATCGTGGAGCTCATACGGCAACAGCCAAGGCTGGGGCGCCGACTGGGCGGGCAAGTGGTCCCGTAATCACTGAGGCCGTGACTTGGGGAGAGCAAGCCGCACTGCCCCTGGCCCAGCACTGCTGACCTCTTCGTAGCCTCTCTGCGCCACCCAGTGAGAGCTGCAGCAGTAGCTATAATTAGGCCGCATTCTCGCCAGGCAAAGGGACGTCTAAGGCGCCCGAAGACCTCTTTTTGGTGCACAGCTATGCCGATGAGCGCAAAATAGCAACACAGGGCTCTTCGCAGCCGCGCGTCGCAGCCATTGGGGAGTCTCTCTCTTGCATCGATGCGCCAGGTGGCCTGGCTGGCAGACTCAGACGCTCTTTGAGTAGCGTGCAGATGCTAGGCTCGGTGGAGGTCCAAAGAGCCTCATGTGCTTACGACTGGGGCCCCAGCGACGGAGCAGCCGAGTCTAGTGCGTAGGGCGTAGCCGCTGTAAATCTGGTTCGGTGGCCTGGAGAGTTTTTATTTCTTTCCCTCAGCTTTACTTTCTTTGGTCTGTTCACTTTTCTGGTACTTCTCTCCCTGTTCTATATCATACTCCCGGGCTGCAGACTGATGGCTAACTAACACTCGCTGTCTCACCTGGAGTGAAGGGTCAGAAGCGCCCGCTATGCTCAGAGCACGCTCGAGCTGCGTTCAATTCAAAATTCATCATTTTCAACCCTCTTGTAAAGCATATCCTTAAGTGTTCTTATCGCCCTTTCGGCGAATGCTGGGTGCCCTCTTGTTCTGTGTAGTTCTATATTTTCATCCTTCAAGTAGTCTATAACACTTTGATTATTAAAGCTCCCTTCGTCGTCTATATAAATTAGTCGGGGCTTCCCATCCATCTTTTTAATGTTTTCCATAACACCTGCAAATATGTCCGGTGGCTGTTTGGATGAAATCGGCACTGTGTTCATATACTTACTAAACACATCTATGCATATCATTCCTACCCTAAATTTTTGATTAGGTATATCATTAATAAAGAACAAATCAATTTGAAACTCATAATAAGCATTGGGAGCTACAAAGGAGTTCTGTCCTGTTTGCTTTCGCTTCTGTTCCACGTTCTTCCTAAAAAACTCGTTAACATCTTCCGCAGTTATACTCTTATCTTTCTTTCTTGCTTCTTGAAGCGTCCTGGCTTTACTGCCAAACCCCCCGCGATCAAAATAAGTACCGTTAATAATATCTTGTTTAGAACTCATTGTAATAAACAAGAAATTATAATTCATTAACATAATCATTTAGAACTGCAGTTACAGTAATGACAGTAGGCTATACAATTATCTTTAACGTGCGCCATCTCGTTATTTAAACGCTGGGCTGTTAGATTACTTACCACTTCCCCGCACTTAAGATCAAACTCAAACCCGCACCCGCATTTGTTACACCTGCTGTTCATCCTATCATAAAGCCACTTCACATCAATATAATCGGCATCTTCTACATTCCTACCTGCCTTCAGGTCTTGTATCTTGTAGCGCTTAACCTTGTTGTCTAAGTATCGCATCAGCGTTGTCTCGTTTAATCCATTATCATTCTCCGCCGATTTGTAAAACATAACCTTATTAATATCGGTAGCCCTTGTTAATGAAGTCCACAGCCACTCTCTCGTGATTAAGTGTTGCTTCTGCCACTCGTGTATCGTTATGGACTTATCAACCGAGGCACCTTGTGACGAATGACAGGTGGCGCAGTAAGCATATCTAAAATGCTCATCTAATGTAGATATACTGGTTTTATATGTCTCATTGGTTTTTATGTTCTGTAGCATAACCCCTTCTGCGCCGATGCTCTTAATCCGATACCTAAAATTGACATTGAAGGTCGTCCCCCCTTCCTTCTTATACTTTCTGCATATCATGTGCTCACCCACTTCATACTTAAGCTTCTTACCTAGGTTCTTTCGTATCGTGTTTGATATATACAAGCACCGTTTATTGGTATATGCTATGTTGTGTTCGGATGCCATTATATCGTCAGTTGTTTTAAAGTGTTTCTCCACAATCTGCTCAATGGGCAGTTTGTGTTTCCAGATGTCATCATATATATTCTTAAGTTTT